GTCTGTAATCTTCTTGCTGTCGTGTTTTGTAGATGGCCTTGAAAAAATGCTTGAGATGGGGAAAACCTTCCGTTTAACACAGAAGGGCTTTGGGAACTAGAATTCTCCAGAAAGGAAAACTGTTTTCCAGACATCAACCTGTTTGATATTTTCAAAATTAAAAATGGGGGGGAAAACCCATTAAAAAAAAATCCTTATATAATCATATACCTCTAAACGAAGTAAAGTTGATCTCTCTGTTTCAAATGGAATATCCAGAGGGTCCGCCTTGATAGATAATGTGGATGGATGAGAACTATGCCTATTTTTTTTTTATAAAAGAGAAGAAATTAAAATGAATATATCCCTGGATAAAACTCCAGCGTAAGGGAAGGCAAATGACTTCTGCAGGTCTTCTTGTGTGGTTTGCTTCACTAGAGAAAGTTCTGGATTCTGTTCCAGGGAAACTCTCCTGACGTCATTTGAGGATGAATTTATATACTCTACAAAATTATATACTCGGCTGCTGACATGCCTCATAATTATTTATAGGAGGTGTCTGAGGATTTCCCAAGAATATATTCATTACAGGTAAAATGTGGACAATTTATCTTGCAAAAAACACTGAACAGGTGTTTCCTTTCAATTAAAGTTCAGTAAATTTTATAACTTTTTTCTTTTTAAAAAAAAACCCTCTCTAACCATTTCCAAAAATGCTTGCTAATCTATCACTGATCTAAATTCCAGCCAGTGAGAAAGCCTGTCTTTCCATAATACCTTCAAACAGTCCCTGTATACTTTTAGAGGATGCTTCCAAATCGGATTTTAAAAAAAAAAATCAAGAATGCCATGCAACAGCATTTATTTTATGCTTTCTTTTCTATTTTAATTGTTGTGGGGTGTCTATTTTAGATAATATCTTTGACTAATCTTCAGATTATGTTGTTGTTGTTGTTGTTGTTGTTATTATTATTATTATTATTATTATTAAAATAAATTGAGGAACTCAGGAACATTATAGGATGAACTCCATGGAGCATATTCAGAAAACTTTGGACTGGCCATATTTTAAATAAGCAATTATTTAAAGGGAAACATTTTGAGGGATTTTTTTTTTTTTTTTTTTGCCAAAGTTTGCCCTGGAAGCAAAAGAAGCATTAGACAATGATGGTTCACTGATTCTAGGAGAAACCTAGAGAACCAATTTTACTAGACCAAACCACGCTGAACTGGGTTATTCTGCATAATAACTCTGGAACAGAAGTCTACCCCAAATGCTACCATGCGTCATTTTCATATACCAACCGCCAGATTGCTTTTTGAAGGGCACTATCCACCCAAATTTAATCATTCTTCAGACTGCAATCCTTAAATTGGCCCATTGAACTCAGTGAGATGTGCACAGGTTTCTATTGTTACTAAGTCCCATTGATTGCAGTGAGAGAAGGAAGGACTAGCTGAATTTAAACTGTTAGGGCAAAAGTATTTTACATTTGACTGGACATGATCACAGTTGCAATCCTGTGGAGATTTACTTGAAAATAATCTCAACTAACCTGCTGGTACTTAGTGCAAAATAAACATGCCTGAGGTCGGACTATGAAGTGTGCAAGACAGTCTTCCCCCCTTCCAACTATCCACCTCTCCCTTTCTTTGATATCACAAAAGGAGAGTATGGTTGAATAAGAATGGGGTGCAACCTGGTTTTCCATATCTTTTTATAAATATTACTCCAAGAAGAAATCTGTTAGTACAGCATTGAATGTATTAGCCATCCACTAGTTCAGATGACCTCTAGTTCTTGTCTCATCCTCCCCCACTCCTGGTTTACTCTTTCTTTCCCAATATGTTTACTGTCAAATGGGGTCCCAGGATTTCTAAGGAACACACTTTTACTTTGATTATTCTCAGAATTGTAGTCCCACAGCCCTCTGTGATTTCTTTTGATTATTGTATTTTAATTTCTGCCAGAAAAATATTCCTTCTATATTTCCTTCAAGGGTCACTCTATCCATCCACCCATCTATCTTCCCAATTTCTGGTCCTTGATATCTTTCTTAAGCCAGCTCAGATCTACTTTACTGTTTACCAACCCAGCTATGGTCTTTGCAAGCCACACACTTACACACACCATCGTGGTCCATATCTTCATTATAACCATTTCCACTCTGCAAGAAGAAAATATACTTGAGCGAAAAGATGCTTTAGCATAGTCTGCCATAGTTGTTGTTACTGGATTTTCTCTCTTCGTTGCCAGAATGACCTCTTCTGGAAGGACCAGTGGGGTTCTCCATAGCCCCAGCGAGAGCAATTACTCGGTCAAAGCCAGTGCTCAGAAAAGGGAGTTTTTCCTTCTTCCAAAGTCACAGAACAGAGTCCCTTTCCCTGCGTTCATACTGAATGTCTATTTGCACCATTTTAAAGCTCTTAGCTGAGAGCCTAAGGGTCTCTCTTTTCCTTTTCCTTGTTTTTTTTTTTTTTTAAATCTGCTAGAAAAGTTGAACCCTGTTGAAAAAAACAGAACATGCCCACCCCCAACACTTCCTGCTCCGTTAGAAAGAAAGCGGGATCTACCAGGTTACACAAGAGGAATTTACGATCAGGCATTGTGTGCGATGCTTGACGCAGATCGACAGCTAGTTTGGCAAGGCAGTTAAGCCGGAGCACATTGATATAATAAATCAATGTTGATATAACCGAAATATATTTACTTAGAAGTAAATGCCACTAAACAATAATGAAAAGAGAACATAAACTTGCAATTATATGTTTTAGGATCTGTGCTGTCAATCTGTGCTCCCCAGCCGTTGACTTGAACAGGAGAACTCTTCGGAAGCAAATGCGTTGAGCGAGATATAGTAATGGAAATCCATAAGGATCTGACTTGGGTTGGATTCATTCTGCAGCATCAAAAAGGTTGAACAGCAGGAGGGCAAAAAGAGTGCTCTGTAAGGTTGAAGACATCCCTCCCATCCCTGGCTCCCCCCCCCCCATACCCTCCCTTTCCACAGGCAGTAAATTCAAGGCTATAAAAATCAAAGGAAGCTAATGTAAGTTTTATTCAACTATTTAACCGTCTCAAGTCTAACGCCTTCTGTAAGGAAAGAAAAAGAAGCAGTACCGGATTGGACATTTTACAAGGGTAGTAAAATTAAAGTGCGTGTATATGGCGGGGAGGGAAGAAGGCGAGAGGGGAGGTAGGATTCAGCAGTGCAAATCCGTCTCCTCACCACCAAGCCACCTCCGCCCCTCCATTGCTTTCAAAACAAACCGGGCTATTGCAGTAGGGAACCGACAGATTCTCTCTGTAGCTCACGATCTGCCTGTTTACAATCTTATCTATCAAAGCAACATATTGTACTCTGAAACCCGCAGTGACTCTGCATGTACATACACATGCATAAAAATATATGGATATGATAGATACGTGAGTGTGAATATATGTGTACGTGTGTAGACCTTTCTTGTAATTATATGCGTACCATATAAGCTACTCTGTGTTTGGCTAGAAGGGATAGATTTCATTCAGGCATACATCAGGTCCATGCAGATACACGCCCGTACAGCCACACAGGCATATATAATGAACACACGCGACAGTGCTTAACATATAATAGTGAGACATTACATATACAAATCCTTGACAGTTAATGTTTAACGGAGGGGGGAAAGGGGGAAATCTTCCGGTATTAAAAGCTTTTCCAAGAGGTTACTCACCATCTACAACCTAGCTTTCAATAATAATAATAATAATAATAATAATAATAATAATAGTGATGATGATGATGATGATGATGATGATGATGATGATGATG